AATTGTAGTATGTGATGTGCAGCAAATGTCAAGTCCTTTTCTCTTTCAACAAGCAAGGTTGTGTCATCTGCTCAACCCAGGTTGTTGATGAGTCTTCTTCTGATCCTGGTGCCCGATTCTTCTTCATGTAGTCCAGTTTCTCAAATGATTTATTCAGCATGCAGACTGAATAAAAGGAGAAAGGATACAGCCCTGATGCACACCTTTCAGTGTTTCCCTACTCGGTTCAGACAGCAGCTTCTTGATCTAGGTGTAGGTTTCCATGTGCACAATTAAGTGTTCTGGTATTCCCAGTTTCTTCTTAATGTTTACCATAATTTGTTATGATATACACAGACAAATGCCTTCTCATCGTTAATAAAACACAAATAGACGTTCTTCTGGTATTCTCTTTCAGCCAAGATCAATCAGACATCAGCAATGATATCCCAGGGGTCATGATCTCTGACCTCTTCTCAATCCAGGTTGAATTTTTGGAAGTTCTCTATTGATGCATTGTTCTGTTTTTTTTAATAACCTTCGGCAATATTTTACTTGCATGTGGTATTAATGATATTGTTTGATGACTTTCACATTCTGTTGGATCACCTTTTTTTTTCCCCCCGGAATTAGTACAAATAGGGATCTCTGGAAATCACAGCTGGCCAGCATAGACTAGTGAGCACATCCAGGGCTGCATCTGTTTATTTAAACACGCCAATTGTTATTGCATTAATTCTGGGGCCTTAATATTTTGCCAGTGCCTTCAGTGCAGCTTGAACTTCCTTCATCACCACCAGTTCTTGAACATATGCTACTTCCGAAAATGATTCTGTGTCGGCCAGTTCATTGTAGTATAGTAGTGACTCTATGAATTATCTCCATTTTTTTCCCCCACATCAAATGGTAATGTGCTCATGTCATAACAAGGTTTACGGGTGATACATTTCATATAAAAGCATGAACCCCCAATCATAATGCTCATGAACCTGGAAAGGATCTCTCCCTTTTCTTTTGATGCTCCCTGGACTGTTCACGATTTTGCCCATAGCCTCCTTAAGTGTTGCAATGTCATGCCTGAATTGGTTCTTCAGCACTTTCCGCTTGAGCAATGCCGAGCAATTTCTTCCTTCTAACACCAGCTCTTTGTACATTTCATTATAATACTTCATCTTCTTGAGCTGCCCATTAAGATCTTCTGTTCACCTCTTTCCCATCAGCATTTCTTCCCCTTTGTTTTGGCCTCTGAACGTTCAAGTGCAATTTTCAGAGTATTTTCTGACACCCATTTTGATCTCTTCTTTCTCTCCTGTTTATATCATGACCTTTTGCTTTCTTCATGGATGTTGCTGATGTCATGACACTATAGATATCACTTCACAGGTCATATGGTCTTTGGTCCTTAGCGTTCAATACTTCAAGCCTTGTTTTAAGATAGTTTTTCAATTTAGGTTGGACAGACTCAGTATCTCATTTTGGCTGGGAAGCAGGAATTACCACATAGCCCGGGGGCAGGCCCACACAACACAACAGTGCTGACACTGCAGCTCAATGGAGATAGAGGGAACTGATGGATTTACTTTTTAGGTAAATGGTGCTGGGATAGCCGGTTATCCTACTGGAAGGAAATAAAAGTGGACATCATGCTAAAAAACAAATTCCTAGGGGAATGAAAGACCTAAAAGCAAAGAACCAAAGGCTCTAAAACTTCAGGAGAATGATTTTCTGACACAAGAGAAGGAATTTTCTACTTTAATAGACAACACAAATGATGAAAGAGTGATAGAGATAGCTTTGCTTATATTAAAACTTATGTCAATCAAAAGACACCATGAAAAAGTGAAAAATATCTTCTTCCACTTATTGGGAGAAGATATTTGTAACATCTACAGCTGAGCTCTGGTGGCCTAATGGTAAGGGATTGCACTGCAAATACGAAGGCAGTTGGTTCAAATCTACTAGCTGCTCGGCTGGAGAAAGATGGGCAATCTCCTCCCCTGTGATTTACAGTCTCTGAAAACCTGATGGAGGGTCACTTGTGAGTCGGTTCCAATGAGACGGCACAATGAGCAACATCACTGACAAAGGGTTAGTAGCCAGAACAGATAATGAATGCCTAGAAACCAGTTTGTTTTAAAAAATAAAAAGAACATGTAAGGAAAGAATAAGTGTTTCTCAGAGGATGAAGCCCAATACTCACTGTACCCACTACTATCAAGTCAGTTCTGACTTAGAGTGATCCTCCTGGCCGAAGCAGAACTATTCATCTGTCACCGAGCTACTGGTGGGTTCAAACAGCTGATTTTTGGTTGGCTGCCAATTTTTTTACTACAGCACCAGGCCCCTTGAAACATACCACACACACACACACACACACACACACACACACACACACACACACACACACCACTCATTGTCATCAAGTCAACACTGACGCACAGCTGACCCTCTAGCAGGTTTTCAGAGCCTGTAAATTGTACAAGAGAAGATCGTCAATTTTTCTCCTGTGAGGGATTCAAACTGGCATCCTTTGGTCTGGTAGAACAATTGCCACCTCTATCCACTAGGCCACCAGAGCCCCCTGTTGAAACACAAGTGAATCTTAAATGACCCAATCAAACTCATTGCCACCAAGGTTCCTTTAAACACACGGAGAGGTGCACAAATTAATCATTAAATGGGAAAATGAAAAAGACACACCAACCTAACCATTTCATACCAGAGTGGCAAACATTGAAAATGAAACTTCATCCAATACCAACTGTGGGCAAGCATCCCAAACCCGGGATCTATCATCTATGCAGTAGCACAGAGACTGATAACCACCACTTTGGACAGCGGTTTGACATGCCCAAGTTAAAGCAGACATGCATACTCCCTTCAGCCTAACAATGCCATCGTCCAGCATATTTAAGTATATTGTTGTTGCCGAGTCAGAACCGACCCAGAGCTGACCCTCTGGTGGGTTTTCAGAGGCAGTTAATCGCAGGGAAGGAGACTGCCCATCCTTCTCCCACAGGGCAGCTGGTGGATTTGAACCACATGCCTTTGCAATTGCAGCGCAGTATCTTACCACTAGGCCACTAGATATGTATTTTATCACTAGGTATGTTCTTGTTGTTGTTGTTGAGTGCCGTAGAGTCTCATAGTGACCTTATGAAGGACAGTCCTCAACAATTGGGTGCTTTTCATCCTCTCTCTAGGTTCATAGGGTTTCTGGAGGCAAGCTATTATGGAAGTGGATGCCACTCCTCCTTCCAAGGTAGGTTATTAGCATTATTATTTTTAAAAGGAAAGAAACCTAGAATGGAGAATTGGGACAATGTGGCATAAAAAAAAAAGGAAGACCCAAAGGAAGTGTGACATTTCTAGCGAATGTGTCCACTACCATGTCCCTCAACTTCTGAAGCGTTAGAGTCACACTTTGCCGTTTATGGAAAACCTCCTTTCTCCTTCCCGCTATTTTCAGCCAGCATCGACAGTGGCATTCAGGTTATATCTGACCTCCTTTAAAAGTTTGGAAATAGTTTCAGTAAAACCCCGGATATGTTCACAGAGATAAGAGCTCTTTCCATAACGTTTTTTCCTGGTGAAGTCTTTATCCCCAGGATGCAAAGCTAGGTCTTTCTTCCTTTGGAAAGTGCTAAATCATATGCCAAGCACCAAGCCTTTCAACTGCATGCAAGAGAGTGCTGTGCCATTTCAGGTAAGGCCAAATATTTTAAGAATTAGAACAGGACATCAGAGGGCTAGGTGAGTCTGCATGTGTCTAAAAAAAGCTAGCACAAGGAATAATTTGTGCAAAGCCATACTGGGGAAACATAGCTTTACTGTGTGTATTTCACAGATAATTCAATGCCAGTGGCATTAATTGTTATTAAACATCTCAGAAGAAATGACAGCTCCTTTTATGCCCAATCCAGAAATAATACAGTCAAATTCCAGCTGTGTGACCCTGGATAAGTTACTTAACCTTTCTGTACCTTAGTTTCCCCATCTATGTATTGGGTACTTAATGATACAGAATTATTGTAAGCATTAATTGAATTAACAACAATGTGCTGAGAACAGTGTGTACCATACAGGGTAAAGTAGTACTATTACCAGCTCTTCTCATCTAGGATAAGGCGTTCACTGTTTCTGAGGAGTTAAGTCAGTGTGACAGAAACAGTGTTATTGTAATCAGAAGAATCAGCTTTTATTTGAGTTGAGATTTTAACAAAAGTTTATACAGAACTTGGATTTCATTCATTCATTACTGCACATATTCCTCCCTACCTGCACCCCCCCCCCCCCGTTCACCTTTCTCTTTGAGAAAATAATCTTTTACTATTGCACAGTTTCTTCCCCCCACCCCCCCAAGTCCATTTTGCTATGCAGCTCTTATTCTGGACTGTGTCATGCAAATAATACCTGATAATATATTCCTTTTAAACAGTTTTTTTCCCCTCATCTATTTCAATGCAGTGTACATTATTTATCTCCTCTTTTCTTAGTTTCACCTCCAACATTCTTTTATGGCAGACAAAATTATTTACAAAGTAGTTCTTCAAGTGTTTTACCACTAGCTTTATTTCCCAATTGCTTGTATATTCAATAAGATATCAAGAAGAAAAAAAAAAGCAAGCACCAGCTTGGCGGTGCCTGCTGTGGCTTTAAGAGACCACGCTGTGCCTTCTGTGAAGTGGTTCCAGCCAACTGGCAAGCTCGCCAGAGCTTTTTTCACAGTGGGCACTGTTGGTGATGTCTGTGAAATCAAATGGTTGTCTTAATTAGCTTCCTCCATGTAAAGTCTTCACCTATGCTTACAGGTTGAAAACACTTCCATTTCCATTGTCTTTAAAACCAGTAAGACCCGTAAGCATGGGAACTCATAATACAGAATGGCTAGCTATCTCACATAAAAAGACTTACTAGCTGTATTTGGCCAGCAGTGAGTGATATCTGGTGGAAGGGTGGTGGTTGGGCTTCTGCACACTTTTTTTGGGTTTCCAGACTTAACGCCCCTTGCCTTTGCAGACATGCTGAGGACCGCCCTGCTGTGCCTGGCGCTGGGGCTGGCGCGGGCCCAGCCGCAGCCCTTCCCCTGCCCTGCAGCCTGCAGGTGCCCGTTACGGGACGCCGTGCAGTGCTCTGGGAGCAGCGTGGAGGGCATCCCCGCGCTCGGCCTGCCCACCAACCTCACCCACATCCTGCTCTACCACATGACCAGTGGCACCTTGCAGAGCAACAGCTTCAGCGGCATGACGGTCCTGAAGCGCCTGCTCATCACAGACAGCGGCATTTCCGCCATTGCCCTTGGCACCTTTGACGACCTGATAAACCTAAAAACGCTGAGGCTGTCACGCAACAAAATCACCTCTCTTCACGTTAACCTGTTGGAAAAGATGGTGCTCCTGGAGCAGTTGTATCTGGATCACAACGCATTACAGATCCTTAACCAGGGTATGTTCCAGAAGCTGGTTAACCTGCAAGAGCTCTTTCTGAACAACAATCTACTCACTTTTCTTCCTACTTACCTCTTCACAAACCTAGGGAACCTCAGAGTGTTGGATGTATCGGAAAATAACTTGACCTACCTGGCCAACAGGCTGTTAGAGACACAGACTAAGTTAGAGAAACTGCTGGTGGGTTCGAACAATTTACTTGGTATTTACTGGGGGGTGTTGGATGGCTTGGGTGCCTTGACTGAGCTGCAGCTCCACAGAAATCGCTTATACCTTATTCCAAGAGGTGCTTTCGACAAGCTCAGCAACTTGCGCTCCTTGACCCTTTCGGAAAACCGTCTACGAGACCTGCCGCACGAGCTCTTCCTGCGCACGCGCAGTCTGACCTTCCTGACGCTGTCAGAGAACCCGCTGCGCCGGCTCCCGCCCGTGATCTTTGGGGAGCTGACGGGCCTGCAGGAGCTGTGGTTGAACGGCACCAACATCCAAACCCTGCCCGACAGCATCTTTCGCAACCTGAGCCGCCTGCAGGTCTTGGGGGTGACGGAGAACCCGCTGCTGAGCTCGCTCCCGAAGGGCGCCTTCCGGGGCCTGGGGGAGCTGCGGGTGCTGGCGCTGCACTCCAACCACCTGGGGTCGCTGCCGGACGGCCTGCTACAGGGCCTGGACCGCCTGCGGGAAGTGTCGCTGCGCAACAACAGCCTGCAGACCCTGCCCTCCACTCTCTTCAGCAACCTCAGCAACCTGCAGCAAGTCCACCTCGGCCACAACCAGCTGCACAACCTGCCTGGCGACCTGTTTGACGCTCTGCCTGCGTTGACGAAGGTCCAGGGTTTGGAGCACAATCCATGGCTCTGTGACTGTGACCTGTGGCCATTCGTAGAGTGGTACCAGAGGAACAGAAACCTCTCATTGCAAACCGAGGTCCCCCGGTGCAGCGCTCCAGGGCAGTTAGAGAACACACCGCTCTTTGGATTGACGGCTAATAACTTGAGCTGCCCCGTTACCGAGTCACCTGCTCCCCAGTCCTCGTCAGAAGTCTTCTCTCTGAGAGTTCCCGCCTCCCTCTCCCCAGGCCTGGCCAAAGTCCCCACCATCCCGTTCCCAGCTCTACCCCAAGTTCCCCCCTCTTTCTCCCCAGGCCTGGCCAAAGTCCCCGCCTCTCCCTCCACAACTCTTCCCCTAGGCTCCCCTTCTCCTTCCCCAGGCCTGCCCAGCTGCTCCCTGCCCTTCAAAGGCCTGGCCTTCTCACCGACCACCCCAGAGCCCTGGGTGTGGGCCCAGCTGGTGGCCAAAGGCAAACGTGAAAACCATAGCCTGTTCTGGGGTCTCTATCTTCTGCTTTTAGCCATCCAGGCCATAATCACTGTGATCATTGTGGTGGCTATGATTAAAATCGGCAGGCTCTTTAAACTGTTAATCAGAGAGGGAGTTTTTTTTTGAACGAATGGGAGGACATTTACGATTCTTTCAGAGCTTGGCTCTGTGAAGAATCCAGGCAGGCTGCTTCTACTGCCTTGGCCTTCCACTGTCTCTTCCTTTTCCTTCTTCCCTGTTCCTCCTCCAGCCCCTTCGCCCTTCTCTCCGTGGACTCCTACCCCCCTCTCCCCAGCTCTCTTGCTGTCTCCCTCACAAGCCCCTCATCCCTTGCCACCCTTCCTCTGTTGTGCTCCTGGGGGCATCAACTCCGTGTGACCCACCCGCGCCCACTGCGCACATGGGGAGGTGCCATGTCCGGCTCATGTTTTTATGGTGAATCAATGAATGAATTAAAAAAAATATTCATATATGTGCTCAAAGTGTTAGTGGATTTTCTTAAGGAATAGATAGGTTGTTTTCGTCTTCTACTTCCATTTGAAAGGTAACCAGCACTTTCTTTTGAGTTGTTTCCCGGATCTTTAGGCATCTCTGGTTTTCTCACCTTATGGCATTCTCTTTTTGGTATGACCTCTGGGATAGGCTGAGAGATTGTACTCAGAGCCTTCTCTACAGGAGCTCAAAGCAGAGCTTGGCTCTTGAGGAGGAGCCACCGGGAGGTCCTGGAGGTGAAGAGTGCTGTGAAGACGTTAACCTGTGATGCATGGGTTTGCTCAGGTGGGGGCCTGGGGGTGAGGGCTGAGGGTTGTTGGGATTTGAGGATGAAGGTGATGGGGGTAGGGTGTAGGAGGTGGAAAGGTACACAAACTCTCCCAGTCTGAAAACTGGGTATATCTATCAGCTTTTAGCATGGGTGAAACATCATTTTGACAATCAATTGGTTTTCATTACTTGGGATGAAATGCTGCTTCTTTTTTACAAGCCTTTGCATACATGTGTAATGAGTGATGAGCTTCTAGTTCATGATGCTGGGATCACACTGGCATTGAGTCTTCAGACTGAATGCAGTGTGGCTCTTGTTGCATTAGCATTGATTAAGATAAGGACCAGAAGGAAGCTCTGGTGGCCTAATGGCAAGGAGCTGCAACTACAATCCCAGAGGCACACGGTTCGAATCCATCAGATGCTCTGCCGGGGAAGGAGGGACAATCTCCTCCTGTACCAGTCAGATCTGATCTGATGGTACACTCACACAAAAATAATAAAATAAAAAAAAATCATTAAAAAAAAAGACATGGACCAGAAAGAAGCTCTGGTGGCCTAGTGGCAAGAAGCTGCACTGCAATGCCAGAGGCACATGGTTCAAATCCACCTAGAGAAGGAGGGACAATCTCTTCCTGTACCAGTCAGATCCGATTTGACTGTAAGCACAAAATAATGATAATTTTTTTTAAAAGAAAAAGATAAGGACCAGAGAGTTGAAAGCCTGGGTGCAGATCTCAGCTCCACCCTTACTAGGGCACTAACTCCTAGGCTGTGCCTCTCTGGCTGTTAGAATCCACCAGCAGCTTTGCCGAAGAAGGATGGCTGTCTGCTGTGTGATTTTACAGCCTCCTGAAGATCCAGCGATGGGTGTATTCTGACTTGAAGAGAATGATACGGAGAGAGACTCATTAAATACACAGGACTCGAGAATGTATATGAATTTTTTAAGTAAACCAGTATAAAAAATTTTTATTAAAACAACTCCACACCTAAATAGGACTTTTTGCTGAACACTTCTATTTTCTAAGGCTGGGTTTGCTTATCTCTAAAAACGGGACAATACACTACCAACCTCAGAGAGAGCTTAAGCACAAGAAGTTGTGAGGATGGCCGGGATCAGACAGGACTTCCTTCTGTTGCACGTGGAGCCATTGTGAATTGCAGCCGACTTGATGGCACCTAACAATAGCAGAGAGGCTGTGAGCTCATAGAGTTGTGAGAATTAAAGGCAGTAAACCCTGCCTATAGTAAAGGCTCAATAAAGAAATGTTAGCTATTATTAAAGGACACAACAATTATTGCTGCTGTCATGATTTCCAAGGAAGAGCTCTGAGTTGGGCTTGTCGCTTGTGCAGAAAGGTGAGAAAACATGCTTTCTAGACTGGAGGTGACATCTAAAGCAGTTCATCTTCACCAGTGAGGTTGGGGGTGAGGAGGTGGAAGGTGGTTGGGTGGATCTCAGGACCAGTGGCTGCACTCTGCTTAGTATCAGCTCAGAACACCTAATGAAAGGCGAAGCAGGAAGAGCCAGATTGCTGCTGTTTGGGGACGTGCTTCATGGCCCCGCTCAAACGGCTGTGCTTGGAGAAGCCTTCCCTGACTGCTGAATACAGGGTTCTCTGCTGGGCGCTGCCTTAGCAGGGAGGACACACGAGAAACCACGGTTTACTTTAGGACCCGCTAACATGCCCCTACACTGAGGATGGAGCACTGGTAGAGGAATCTGTAGAGAGGTACACAGCTAACCCAAAGGCCCCTCTCTGGTGCTTCCATGCCGCCAGCCACTCCTCTGAAGAAAGACAGGTAATCTCCTCGCAGCTGATCTACAGCTTCTGAAAGTCTCTGGAGGATCTGTTTGAGGCAGTTCCAAATCCATGGAGGCCTATTTATAATTTTTATTTTTTAATTAATTTTAATAAAAGTTTACAGAGACTTTGGGTTTCCATTCATTCATTGTTGCATTTTTCTCCCTGCCCAACCTCCCCCCCACCCCGCCAGTTGGCTCTTCTCTTTGAAAAGTAAAAGAAAAATTCTTTCATTGTTATACAATCCCTCCCCCAAGTCCACTCCACTATGCATCCTTCCTTCTGGACTCTTGTAATGACAGTATCTTTTTTCTTTTTTTTACACTCTAGCTGGCCTTTCCTTGTCTTGTTTATTGTTGTGGTTCCAATTTTTTTTTTTTTTTAAACTACATGCAGAGTAAAAACCAGAGGTTTTCTGTGAAATAATGACTCTAACTCTTACTCCTGTGCTCTCAGGTATACTGCTCAGCTCTCCAAAACAATTTTTGGTAATCTCCTAATCATTGTGGTAAGGATGAAATGTGAGAATTCACTCCTAACAGTTAAGCGAGTGTACAGTGGGTATGGGGCACAACAGAAATTACCTGCTATTACAGCTGCATCTTCCAGAACACTGTGTTCTAAAGTTCTCAGAGTCTTTGCATGTGTTTATTTGTTCGTTCAACAAGTATTTATTGATGACCTGGTTTTACCAGGCACTTGGAATTTTTTATTGTTGTTATCCTCAAGTTGGAACTGATTCATATCTGATCCTCCAGCAGGTTTTCAAAGACATCACGGATCTAAGGGATTTGAACTGCATGCCTTTGGGTTGGCAGAGCAACTCCTTTCCACTAAGCCATGCATGACATATCAGGCTGCTAAATGAAATGGTGGTAGTTCATATCCACCAGCTTGTCCAACAGAGGAAGATGGATAGTCTCCTCCCATAAAGATTTCCAACCCCGGAGACCCAGTGGAGGATCGCCATGGTAGAATTGACTTAACACATGCGTTTGGCTTCCTATGGGTTGGAGCAAGGGATACAACAGAGGATGCACTTCCATGTGTTTACATTTTGATGTTTTCCATCCAACTTCAACACCTCTCCCCAACATTCAGACCATTATCCTTAAATATTTTGCAAAGAACAGCTTTTGACATCTCACCTAGCTTTAGAGAATCTTTACATTTTGTTATATCTGTTTCATGTATTTTTAACAGAATGCACTATGGCAGGTGCTACTGAAACTTCCTGTGTGGACATCTTCTCCAGCTCAGTTCTTTGACTTTCTCCTGATCAGCAAGCTGCTTAATAAATCTGGTACTTTTGTACTCTTTCTATTATGTCTATAATCCTGCACAAAAGCTATGGTTCACATGCTTTTAAATGTCATAAAAAGAACGCTGTCTCCATTGCTGTAACAATGTACCATAACATTAGCAGTTTTTTAAAAAAAATTTAAAATTAATTTTAATGAAAGTTAACAGAGACAGGGTTTCCTGTCATTCACTGTTACACTTTTCTCCCTACCCACTTACTCCCCCAATTCACACTTCTTAAAAAGAAAAAGAAAAACTCTTTTATTGTTATGGAAACCCCCTCCCCCCACAAAGTCCACTCCACTGTGCAGCCTTCACTCTGGACTTCTGTAATGACAAGGATACCCATTCATATATCCCTTTTAAACAGTTCTCTCCCTCATCTGTTTCAATGCAATATATATTATTTATCCCCTCTTTCTCAGTCTCCCCCCAACCCCGATGTCAGTCCCGTTTTACAACAGTGGCACTAAGCAATATTTGTCCTTTTGTGACCGAGATATTTCAGTCAACATAATGTCCTCCAGGGTCATCTGCTTTGTATACTATTTCATAAGTTCCTTGTTATTCAATGCAGTGTAGTATTCCGTTGTGTAAATATACCAGAGCTTCTCTATCCATTTGTTTGTTTTGTTTGCATTTGTTTGATGGGCACTTGGGTTGTTTCCACCTCTTTGTTATTGTGAACAAAGCTGCAGTAAACATGGGTGTGCATATATGTCTGCTTGGGTGGCAGGTCTGATTTCTTTAGGGTAAATTCCCAGTAGTGGAATTGCTGGGTCAAATGGTATTTCTATCTGCAACTTTCTGAGAAAGTGCCATACAGCCTTCCACAGTGGTCGGTCGCACCATTTTACACTCTCACCAACAGGGAATAAGGGTTTCAGTTTCTCCACAACCTCGTCAGCATTTGATGTTTGCAACATGAGCACTTCTAAAGAACAGAATTTTCCTCCCTTAGAGTTCTGAAAGAACTGTCAGAAAAGTCCAGCTGTGTGTATTCCTTCTGAGGGCTTGGAGAAAGAAACTGTTTCCTGCCCCTTCTTCACTTCAGAAGGATTATTGTAACTAAAAGTGGTGCATCGCTGGGGATTCAAATCCCACCGTTTGTTCGCAAGGAGAAAGATAGTCCCTTCCCGTGAAGGTTTACAGGCTCAGAAACGCCATGGAGGGTCATACTGAGTCGGGATCAGCCCTCAAGCAATGCATGAGTGAACCCTGCGCGTAATCATCTTCCCTTTAAAAAAACAACGT